AAGCAGTTCAGTTTAAGAATTCAGGTCTTTGCCAAATGTTTTTTAATTTCCACTTGTCTATTTCTTCGTGGCACTTTTATAGCTTTTAGCTTTGCATTACTTTTCTGGAGAAATTTTGCGTTGTGCTATATTTTGTTCATAAAGAAGTAGAATACACTTGGGATTCTTGCGAACTTAAAGTGACAGGTGAATAATTCCAGAAACCGCGTGCTGTGAAAATTTTGAAAAAGGATCTGTTTGGGTTGATAAGGGGAGGAGCGGAGAGTGAACAACCTAGGAGATTTGAACCAGGTTTCAAATGCCATTTTCTGGACCTCAGCATTTAGAGGGGACAATTATGCATTTTCCTCCTCACCGTGAGTTGCAGCTTCATTGGATGTGATTTGACTCATCACTGCTTAGGCGATTGAACACAAAATTCATTTGATCATTTAAAAGCTCAACATTTAGCGGAAAGTGAACAAGGGCCGCCTAGTGCAAAAAGCGTTGCCTTGTTCTCAGACAAAAATAATTTTGTCGTGCACGAGAAATTTTATGCGACTTTGTTGATGTTTGTAGTTATCTGTTGCTGCTCTCTGCACCATTTGTACATATGTAATGGAACAAGAAGTATATTCAACGCATTCCATCGTTTAAAGCAGTAGCAAGTCAAACCATTCCGCGCACATTTTTCTGCACTGCAAATTTGCGACATTAGTTGAAAAAATTAGTTGATTTCAACTGTGACCGAAATCCTTATCGACGATTCTATCCGTGTGATAAATCGTGCATTCGATGAATATTCTGGTTTAAAGGCGACGGCGAGATGGATTTGCACTTTTGTGGACGATTGCAAATGTTGGAATAATGCACTGGGCCGAGTTCCAGCAGCAAGCAAATTTTGTGCCCAGTAAAACCATTTCTTTATATAATAAACAAAAAGGCGCACCTGTAACAAAAGAAATATGACAGTCCTCACAAGAAATAAAAAAATTTGGAGTCGTGCCGACAAAAGTCCTAATCACTGGTGACCCACACCAGGCGGGCTTGTGCGATTATACGTTTTTGCAGTATTTCTGCTGTAATAAGATCGCTTGGAATTCCAGTAGCTAGAATTTGTAACATACTGGTCCTCAAAGTTCAGAAAGTTAATTGTGCAACTACGTGACACTTAGACAGGGAACACTCCTTTAAAATTTCTGCTTTTCTGGTTTGTAAGTTAGCATTTTCCTGCCAAAAATTTTCACGGGCTTGTATTTGAGGACCACACACACCTGGGGGCTGAATTCGAAACCTTTACGTCGTGCTTGAGCAGAGAACAACCACCCTAAAATTTCATCTTTCCAGCTTTTCTGGCTCCCAAATTAGCAGATCTCCCGGTAAAAATTTCACTTGCTCGTACGCGGGTTTCAGACATGTGCGAAGGTTGGTACCCCGGTTTTGGAATGACACTTAGCCAGGGAACCCACTGATAAAATTTTATTGCCGGAGTTTGCTTGGTTGTTAGTTTGAAATACCTGGACAGACGCATACACACATACATATACACAAACGTACCCACAAAAATACACACACGCTCAAACCATGAGCCGTCACAATACGCGTTTTTATGCGTTTTGTGCTGTGTAACAGCGTTACAAAACGCATATTGTCACGGGGTTGCCTGTGT